TTGAAGTAATTGGCGACGAAGTGGAGAAAGTTAAAGCCGGCCTCTAAAAACATTGTATTTGTGAACATCATGTCTTTTAAGTAGAATTCTTTGATGTTTGTAAACTCACACATTTAAATAGTCATTTATTTGAGAGAAGAAGCACACACTCATAGTAAAATAACTAATGAAGCATTTTTCATTCCTAAAATTAAATGCTTCGCATTACAAGAGACCCCCTATTTATAAAAATAAGAGGGAGAAACTAAAATACACAACCTTATTTCTAATTTCAATCCTACCATCATAACTATACTAATTAATATCATGCCCTGAGATTTTATTTGAAAGAATTGCTTATTTATATCTTATAATAATCTACCATAGCCACTAATAATCATCAATATACATGTAATAAACATAGCAGAAGAAATCTTTTGATTCATTTCATCTTAAACATGTACCACTCATTTCATTCCCAAAAATCATATATAATTGTCATGAATTTATCTTTCTAATCAATTTATCTTAATTACATTCATGAATTCAAAAAATAAACAAAAAATAGAAGTGATACCTATCTCTATAATTTGATCAGCCTCAGTCCACTAGCTCATTACACTTTTCTAAAATAATGTAAAAACCACGTAATAAACATAAGCCTAATAGATCACCAAAATTTATAACAAAGCTAATGCAAGATAAATATAATAATATGTATGTAACTATTCAAATAATGTTAGTATAATGTATCTTATCAAATTATGTAAACATGATCATATCAATAAAAAAAATCAATGATTAGTGAGCAATATGGATTATAAACAATCATCATTATGACGAATCAATGATCATTGATTTAGTCCTATCTTAGAGGATCATGAAAAGGGCTAAAAAAACTATCATATCAATCAATAAATCGATGAAGTATCATTTTTATTTCATATCATGTTAATGTTTATCAATATATCTATTAATATGCATGTTATGCCAACTTATGCTAAAGCAAGTATATTATGTATTAATATCATGTAGCATTTGGTAGTGTTGAGCATTGTGTATTATACACTCTATATTTTTGTATGAGTTGTCTATATTCTACTAGTATAATGTCATGTGTATCATGTATTCGTATTAGTATCAATATCATTTTTTATCATGTTCATATATTGTATAACTTATGCATGTTTATATATATCATGTATAATCATGTGGGGTTATATCATGTATGCATATAATATCATATTCATCATAGTACAAGTCAGTAAATTTGACTAATCATATGTCATTTTCTTGTGTCTTATCATATATTATTAAATCATATCATATTATTATAATTGTCAGGTGGATTCTTTTAAGAATCGTCATTCCCATATGTTTATATATTTTGTTCACATATAACTCCAATCTTGTTTGTATTAGAATCACATTACAAACCTATTATTCAAAGGAAAGTCTACCAACCCATATAATAGCCTAAAAAATGTGAAATGAATTTATTTATTTGAAAAACATGGAACTTATGAATTAAAACATTGTGGTGTTTGGCCACTAAAAATATTAATATATATATTTTATTATAAATATCCATGCCTCACCGAACTGCTTCACTCACTTGGTTACTTGACCAGGAAGAAATTGAAAGAGGAGAAGAAGAGAAAGGAGAGATAAAGGTCTTTAGGTCATATTTGCTTGTTGTTCTTGTTATGTATTTTATTTTATTCCTAGTAAGTAACTGTCTTCTTACTTCTATTTTCAATCATTTTAATTTCTATGCATTTATCTCTCCTTAATTCATTGTAAGTAGCTATATTCTTATTTCTATTTTCGATGAATTTGATTTCTATAAATTTATCTTTCTTAAATCTAATAAAAAATACATTATATCATGATTTTATAAACTTTTATTGTATAATTTTTGATATATTATTATTGCGGACTAGAATATACGCGGCGATAGAGTTCAAAAACTTCCATCTCAGCATTGTACATATATTTAGTACACAAACAGAGGAGAAATATTAACACCAGGATTTTTACGTGGAAAGTCCTGAAAGGGGAAAAACCACGGGGCCACACCTAGTTGAAAGAGTTCCACTAGTGTTTGCTACTTTGCTTGAAATATAAGAGGCCGACTCGTCTTTAAAATTTAGGACGATCATTTTACAAAGCTTCACCTCCGGATTGAAATCCAATTACAAATAAGTTGAGTATTCGAGTTGAATTCAAAATTGCTTAGAATTCCAACGTTAATTGGAAATCAGTCAAAGTTCCGGTGTCACTTGGGCGTCGGGCAGAATTTTAGCATTACTTTGGCGTCAGACAGAATTCCAGCATCACTTGGGAAGAATTCTGGCGTCACTCGCGTTATTTTGGCGTCGGGCAAAATTTTGACGTCGCTTGGGCAGAATTCCGGCGTCACTCGGGCTTACGACGAAATTCCAACGTCACTCGGGCGTTGGGCAGAACTCTGACGGTGGTCGAGGAGGAGTTATTCCCTCATATCATTCTCTTCTCTTCTTCTTGCTTGGGTCCCCTCTCAAGAGAAATGAGAGGTCTATTTATAGATTTTCTGAAGTGACATGATATGTAAATAGATGAGAGATCAGGGACAAATATGAAGTGGTTCAGATGAATGGTCGATATTGAATCTTTCAATCGTGGACCGTTTATCAGGCATTTGAAGGTTTTGATGACTTTTGAATTCGGCGATCTTGGGCTCGTTGGATTCGTCTCGTCGAGCCGCTCGATTCGATTATAAGAACATCATATTTAGAAACCGTTTGGTAACTTAAATTATGGTTTGAAATTTCCAACAACGCTTCGGGTGCTTGATTTGGACTCATTTGGCTCGGATTGAGTCAAATTTGGTGTCGTTGAGTTTGTATTTCCGAGACGCTCAGTTTGACTATAAGTTTGCTGAAATCAGAGTTCAGGTGATCCCGAATTTAATTTTTGAAGTTTCCTGCTAGATTTTGCCTCGAGATTCGTGCCCGATCAAGATATTTTTTTTGAGGATATATCAATTATAAATTTGATAATTATGAATAATATAATATAATTTTATTATATTTTCACCTGTTAAATATGTGCATAAAAATTTATGAATAAAATGAGCAGAGAAAAAATCAGATTAGAAATTAGTTAAAAAGCATATATTGTGATTTGACATTATAAGACTGCATGGTAATATGTACTAAAATGATTGCTATGATTGAGTTATGCAAGAATGTTTGCTAATAGTCTAAATCTAATATGATGTATGTATATATATTATATATGATATGATAACCTCATGCCATATACTCAAGATTCACGTAGTCCATTGACAGAAGTTTTGACTACCACTTAAAAATCTTATTAATTAGAGTGATATCATTTTTTTATACAGTACAGGGATACACAACTTTTCTTAGTTGTATAAGCTCGTCAAAATCGGAGACCGTTTGGTAACTCAAATTGCGGTTTGAACCTTCCGACAGTGCTTTGAACCCTTGATTCGGACTCATTTGGGCTCGGATTGGGTCAATCTTGGTGTCGTTGGGTTCGTATTTCCGAGACGCTCAGTTTGACTGTAAGCCCGCTGAAATCGGAGTTCGGATGCTCCCGAAATTAAATTTTGAAGTTTCCAACTAGCTTTTTGTCTCGAGATTCGCGTCCGATCAAGATAATTTTTACATGGCGTATCAATTATTAAATCATATCATATTATTGTCATTGTTAGGTGGATTCTTATAAGAGTCATCATTCCTGTATGTCTATATATTTTGTCCACATATAACTCCAATCTTGTTTGTATTAGAATCACATTACAAACCCATTATTTAAAGGAAAGTCTCCCGACCCATATAATAACCCTAAAGTGTGAAATGAGTTTAATTATTTGAAAAACATGAAAATTATGAAGTAAAACATTGTTGTGTTTGGCCACTAATAATATTAATATATATTTTTTAGTATAAATATCCATGCCTCATTGAACGGCCTCCTTCACTTGGTTGCTTGACCAGGAAGAAATTGAAAAAGGAGATGAAGAGAAAGGAGAGAATGGTCTTTGGGTCATATTTGCTTGTTGTTATTGTTATGTATTTTATTATATTCGTAGTAAGTAACTATCTTTTTACTTATATTTTCCAATGATTTTAATTTCTATGCATTTATCTCTCCTCAATTCATTGTAACTATCTTCTTATTTATATTTTTGATGATTTTCATTTCTATGAATTTCTCTCTTTAATCTACCAAAAAATACATTATATCATGATTTTATAAATTTTTACCGTATAACTTTTGATATATTATAGATTTGATAATTCTTAATAATATGATATAATTTTATTATATTTTCACCAGTTAAATACGTGTATAAAAATTTATGAATAAAATGAGTAGAGAAAAAATAAGATTAGAAATTAGTTAAAAAGCGTATATTGTGATTTGACATGATCAGACTGCATGGTAATATGTACTAAAATGATTGCTATGATTGAGTTATGCAAGAATGTTTGCTAATAGTCTAAATCTAATATGATGTATGTATATATATTATATATGATATGATAACCTCATGCGATATACTCAAGATTCACGTAGTCCATTGACAGAAGTTTTGACTACCACTTAAAAATCTTATTAATTAGAGTGATATCATTTTTTTATACAGTACAGGGATACACAACTTTTCTTAGTTTATTAGTCAGAAGTTTTAACTATCAATTAAAACATCTTAAATTTAAAATTTACATATAATATACAAATTTGTGTTAATTGGTCTTTTTTTAAAAAATTACATTAGAGGGATAACACCCTAATATCCGGCGAATTATTACGTCTGGTCATCGGAGACAACCAATTCAGACGCATCATGTCACCCAAATATACTGAAATCTGTTATATTTTGATGACATGACACATCTAAATTGATATCCACATGAACACGGGTACCGAACTTAATAATTTGCCCTAATATCCGTTCCAATATTGATGCGACATCCTAATTTATATTATCGGGACGGCCGAATTGAAAATAAAGTTACTGGCGCCGCGGAGCCGTTCGAATGTCATCATCATTGACAAATTGGGCTTCACAAATCATTGAAAATATTTCGCAGCTCATCCTGACGTTTGTTTCTCTCGATGACCAAATCGTCTTGCTCTCTCTTTCTCCTTCAGTGGCCGGGATTTCGAAGGCGGCTATGGAGGACTTTGAGACTGCAGCACCGTACACTCTCCTAGGGTTTCTTATACGAGGCGGCGATGGCGATTATAGTGGATTTATGATGGATTACGCGGAGAGGGTGAAGAACGCGCTGCTATGGGTGGGGCTTTTCTCGATTACCTTCTTGCTTTTGCAGAAGCTTGCGAGGCTGGTGAGGTTATGGGGTCAAGGGAGCAGAATTCCTGGCCCTCCTTCTCCTTCCTTCTTTGGCCACTCTAAGCTTATTGCCGATCGCGCGGTTGGTCAAAATATGATTGGTAGATCTGTTTATTAGTATTATTACTGTTATTTTAATTTCTTTGCGTTTGAGATTTGCATTGGCTACTGTTGGTAGGTCTTTGGCCTTCCTGATTATATTTGCATCAAGGCATTTGGAATTATTTTGTATTTATGGGTAGAGGCGCTGGGATCCTTATATTATTAGCAACAGTTAGTGGCTGTTTTAGTTTCGCGCTTTTAAAAAGTCACCTACTTTTGCTTTAGAAGAGTTTTGTATTGGTTCACTTAATCTGAGTGCTTATGTGGTTTTAGCTTTTGTGCGAATTTATTTTGGACTATATCTATTATCTCCTGCTAATTCTAGAGATTCTGGTTGTTTAATTCAGCGATATAATTAAATTTTAAGAATATACCTTTCTGTGATTTATGGTTCTATTATGGGACAGGTGATTGAAAGGCGCTCCTTTGGTGCTACTAATAAAATTGGTGGAAGGCTAATGCTATGTTGCCCATAATGATTGAAAGATGTTTCTATAGTACTTCTACTAGACGAGTTTGGCTCATAATTATCTTCTAAGATTTATGTGCTATGTAATTTAATGGTTTTAGTGTTTAGGGTCTGGGTTGTAAAAAAACAGGTTGTTTGTGTTAGATTCTGTTTGGATCAATCATTAGCTGATATTTAGCTCTAGGTCAACTAATTTTTATAAGCTCATTTATTTTCTCAGTCAAATATGAACAATGCCTTGTTCGATTATCTTCAGCTTGATAGCAGCTTTATTATGTGCTTAAAAATATGAATATACATATACATAAATATTGTGTATATTCTTATTCACACATTTATATTTGTTTAAATTATTTATATATACATGTGGTGAAATATATATTCAATAATTTATATATAACTTTAAGTAGGCTTTATGTCCGTGCACAACTTGTGTTCGGCTCCATGAGTTGTTGGGCCAAAAAAAAAAGTGACTCGTTTAGATAACAAGTTGAGCTAAACATGATTTGAGCTTGCTCATGCTCAACTTATTTTTACACCCCTATTTAGAGTTGAGTCTATGCAAAATTATTGGAAATTGTATAGACTAAATTACCTACTACAATTGTATAAGAGAAACAATAGTTTGAAAAAATAGGAGTTCCTATTGCAAAGATTAAATAGTAGGAGCTTCTTTCTTAGTATTCCCTTTGATTATATGTTAAATTAGTTGATGCTCGATGTATAATGATGAGTTTTGTTGCCTTGTTTTTAGTGTTTGGGTAATAGTAGATGTTGATTAAATTTTTTAAGGTTGATTTAAACTTAATTTGGGTTAGATCAAATTAGATTACAAGATGCACCATTATCTCTGGACATTAATAATTGCCACCTAGTCAGTGAAGAGAAAATTTTAGTTAAGCTTAGGGAAAAAAATAATCTTGTGTTTTTGGTTAGTAATTTGCTTCTTATGACTTGGTATTGATATTAATACAACACCAATACCAAGAAGTATAAAGCACAATAATAACTTAGTGCAAGAAAATTTTTGGAGCTATGCTTACATAAAAATTGCTCTTCAATGAGGGATATTATAAGCCCCATTTTAAATCAGTGACATTTCTCATATAAATCCCCCACCTTGTTTCCTCTCCATGTCTAATGATGTTGTAAGGTCTATCGTACTATATTTAATTTACAATTTAAAGATAATACTCTATCAAATATCAATGATGTTTGTGTTGAAAGTTTGTCATATTCTTATACGTTAAATTTCATAGTAGGCAGGTTCATCATAAGGAGTTTCAAAAGTCTGAGATTTCATAAAAAAACTCAAATAGATCGAGACTTTGTAAAACCTGCTAATTAACAACATCCTAATGGAATTAATTTGTCATAAGTTATTTGGTAAATGTTTGTCTTATTCCTTTGCGTAAAATTTGATACTATGCAACTTCATGACAAGTAGTTTCAAATGTAGATATTTTATAAAAAAAATAAAATAATTTGTGTTAATGTTTGTTAACCGGCTAATTAATAACATTGTGACAGAATTAATCACAAATAATTTTTAACTATAAAAAATGAAGAAAAAGTGTAAAAAAAAAAAAACCAAGCTTCTCACGTGAGCTTCGCTTAGCCACCTCAATTCCCACACACGTCATCTGTCGCTTCACCTAGTCTTCTCTTGACATACATGCATGTTCCCGCATGCAGACACTCTCAATATGCTCGTTGAACTCAACACAGGAGAGCTTTTATTGCTTTCTTGCTGCCATTTTCTGCTTCATTTGCACGTTGCACATCCCACACCAAGCCCGCCCTGTTTCACCCTACTCCTGTAGAGACTTAAAGGATTGTCCTCTTCGCCTGCTCGAAAGATTCGCAACACCCACAACCCCACATCACATTATGATCTTTGTTGTCTTTACCTCCTTCGTTTAAATTGCATAATCTACAAAAGACGCATGTGGCACTCAAATCTAAGAAGATGAATCCATAAGTGAGCTCTTATACCTATACCCCTCATTCCATTGATCTTTTCTCCATCCATGAAAGAAGACCATCGTATGCATATCATCAATCTTTGATTCGATTAGAGCCTGCCTCCCTCTGATGATCTTTGTGCTGGGTCCAATTCTCACATATTGTGACTCTTCATTACCAATGTTGAGTTTGTGTTTCTAATTCCTTGTTGAATTTCATGGATTATTTTAGATAATTTTGTTAACTATTTGGTTTTTGTTCTATTTTTAGTATTGCTTGTTTGTATTTAAAGCAAGGAGTTAATTGAATTATTTTTTTTGAAATTAATTAATTGAATTATTTGCTGGCTTGTAATATGTGAAGTTTTAATTTATGTTTGTGTATATCCATACTACACATTATATTAGTTGCATTTGAAAACCTAACCTTGAGCTGTATTTCATCAATTGTTATTTTTGTTTCCTTATTTTCAATTATTGTTCAAAATTTTGTCATTCAGGTTATTTATCCAAGGTGCATGAGAAGTATGGACCCATTGTGAGATTATGGATGGGACCTACTCAGATGCTAATCTCAGTGAAGGATATTGCAATGATTGAAGAAATGCTTGTGAAGGCAGAGGATAAATTACCACTGATTGGAAGGGCATTTCGCCTTGCTTTTGGTAGATCCACACTTTTTGTCTCCTCCTTCAATAAGGTAACCGCTGCAATTTAGATGGTATTATTATGTAGCTAAACTTTAATAAGATTTATATGATTATCTGATATTATACAGCAGCCTATTTTATATCTGTAATCATTTTGGTGAAACCCTTTTACCTTCTACCTGGTAAAAATCAAGAACATGGTGAGAATGCTTCTGCAGCATTTTGGAGGGAATTGACTGGCATTTTGTTATTTGAGTCATAACATTCCACTAGTCCACATTCGATTGATGTTGCATATGTCTTTTTCATGCAATTATGGTTTCTCTTTGTTTTTCATGGCATATATTTGTGTCATCTTACTGGTTTTCATAACCTTAGCTGTGTCAAGATTTCTAATTATTTACTATGTTGACACAGCCATTTTAGTTGTAGGAATCATTTTTTCCAAATTATTGCAGGCCCGAAGAACACGGGAATCCTTGGAAGTATATATGAACAAGAATCTGCTTGAGAGATTGAATCAAGTTCCTGGAAAGGTTGTTGAACATGTCTTGGAAAGATTTGTTTCTATTATCGCTAAAGATGTTCCTGATAGCAGACAGGTTTCTGAGCACATGGCATCTTACATCCTTGGAGCTTCAATGTTTGGTGATGCTTTTTTGAACTGGTCAAATGCAAGTCTGTATGAAGAGCTTCTTGTTACAGTTGCTAAGGAGGCATGCTTCTGGGATTCGTATAGGATTCCTCCTTTTTGGAGCAGGAGATATAGGAGGTACCATTTTTTATGCACAAGGCTGAAGGAATTGAACAAAGATATTATTGGTGAAAGTATGAAAAGTAGAAACGTTGCTGGAAAAGAGGATGGTACCACAGTGTTTATAGATGCTATAATGTTTGGAGGGAGCTTGTTCCATGGGAAGACAAAAAAACATCATTTTTCAGACGAGGAACAATGTGATAATATCTTAGGTTTGATTTTCCATGGTTTTTTAACCACTGCAAGCTTGATTAGCAGCATTCTAACAAGGCTTGCACTACATCCGGAACTGCAAGAGAATGTAACACCCTCTCCTTTCTTCATTTTACTGGTTTTGCATTTCTGTTTATGTTCTTCATACATGATCTCTTCTGTTGACGGCCACTGGATCATCCACATTTTAGCATAATTTTGATTAAGTTTTTGTACTTCGAAAATAGATTATAGCAAATTACTTTGTGGGGATTATTTTGGCTTCTATTTTTTTAGTCGAGGGACTAAATAAGACCTCATTTTTAACATCATGATGCAATTTCAACAAGAAAATATATATTCCTAAAATATTCTCATTTTTAATCTCATGCTTGAACTTAGATTGAAAATTCCGTCACTTTAAATCATGGGAACTATTTTGGTTCTTTAGCATACAAGGGACTAAATTGGACCTTTTGCATAGCTTGGGACTAAACATGATCATTTGGATCTATTGCTCTTTTAAGAAAGTAATTGTCTATCCAGCTGAAAATTAAAAATTTGTAAAATCCATGCAAATGATAGCAGTCATCTAATAAAATTTTTGCATGAAAATTCAGGATCAGGAAAGAATCACATATTCAATTGAAAACTCACAGTGCAATTGAAAAAAAATCAAATTGAACTATATTTGCAATAATTAGTTGCATTAGCAAATTAATCACTAAAGTATAGAATATAAATAGTGCAAAGAAAGACAATCTAGGCTTTCCGCTTGTACAAGAAGATGACTTTTCCTAGACATCTGCAGTTTCCAACTACACCAGATTTTGAAAAAAAAATTCATTAAATTAGAACGTAAATGTTGAGTAAAAGTAGAATAATCAATATAGTTGTTTTTTTAATGCCTGTCACGTCTCTTTTTAATCACAAGTCTCAATTTTCAACAACAAAATCAGAAGATAAAGTCGGTAGGCACATCCCAAAATGATATGAATTGCTGAAATCCTGCAGAAGGTAACCTTTGCAGAAAACCTGCTGGAGCAGGTCTTATCTACACTGATAACATTCACTGAAAGGTTACGGGACATAATTGCAACCTGTTATCTGGTTAAAGAACATGAAATGGATTAAAGAGATCATAGCTACAGGGTCTTGTAAGATCCAAAAAATGCTTGTTGAAGCAGACGATTGCAAACTCAGAAAGCTCGCAGGGTGCTTGTTGGTGCAGAAGGAATTATGGAAGGCCATAACTGATGTGGCAAAATAATCTGGATGATGATGATGAGAACAGGATGTGTCTGTTGTTGTTGGGATGGTTTAGAGGTTGCTCTTTCTGCTTCAAAAATGATTTTTATGTGACATTATGATGTCTTAATTTTTTTTAAACTGCATCTGGTTTGTGTTTAGCTAGTATGGATGAATGATTATTAGTTTTTTGGTCTCTTGTGACATTTAAAAATACGTTATTTGAATCTGTCACCTTGTAGATTTATTGGGAAATTATTTCTTTGAAAAAAACGAGCAAATTTGATCCGTCTGATGTGCAAAAGATGAATTTTTTGTTGGCGACTATGTATGAATCGGCTCGCCTCCTACCACCTGGACCTTTGCTTCAGAGATGTTCTCTAAATCATGGTAAGAACTACTTTGTGCATGATAGTTTAAGTTAAAGGTTTATGTTTTTTTTTTATTATTAAATAACAATTGTCGTATCCTCACGGATTTCCTGTTTCCAAGTATGCTGCAGCATATCAACTTTGCACCTGCAAGCACAGTAGTTATTGAGAAGGGAATGTTGACGTGCGTGTTTTAGTCCGGTTGGGTCTATCATTTGCTCCACCTATCTTACTAATAGCATTTCTATTAACACAAATATTAAAACCTTTTTTTTTTGGGAACAAAGAGTGTGTGTTGATATTATTCCTTGTATTAGTTTCTATTTTCCTAGTTTAGTTTGTCATAAAATATGCTTTGATAATAGGATGTGTTTTCTAGTGTTTGGATTAATTATTATTAGGTTTGATTTATTGCTTAGATTACAAGAAAGTTGATTCAACATGATTAGTATTATAACTAATCATGTAGAGTGACCAAGGAGTTCATAATTGTAATAGGATTTTTTTTTTTTTGGGTGGAAAAATCGATCTCCAACACATTGTTCTCCATTAATTCTTGTGTGGGCTCTAGGCTTTGCTAGAGATTTAGAGAGTATTTCTTCCTCTCGAATTGAAGAAATTTGTATCTTGCTTTATTTTTCTTGTTCGTGGATTAAATCAAAGTATTTCTCTTGTGTTTCTTCTCCAATCTACTATATTTCCTGCATGGTTTTTGCTGATTTCATTTTGAAATCAGCCCTATTTCTCGCTGTTTTTGCCAATTCTTGCTAGGTTTGCTTGCCAACTCAAGTATTGTCCTTAAGAGTTACTTGTGAACTCAAGTACTTCCTATCATATGATTGAACTTGCTACATAGCATTTATTGTGCCTATTCATTAATATGTGGACTATTGTTATTATTCTATAATTATTATTCCTCCTACTTGTCAATCTATAAACTATTGTGACTATAATTATTAGTCCTTGATTTTGTGCGTGTCATATTAGAAGTTCTTCTAGGATTGACAAATACTACGGAACTAGTGGAATGAAATACTCAATCAATTCTTCCCAATTTTTGTTAATACTCATCAACAATATTGAGTCTTTATTTTTTGTATTATTTATGGAGGTTTCCACGAATAATATAATAAAGTGAGGTGTCCTTTTTATTGGTGAGACATTGAAATATGAGAAGTGCTAGAATAACGTAAAAATGTTTAGAACACAAATAGTTTAGAATTAGTGGAACAAAAGCTAGGCATGTCATATACAGCTTTAGTGGATGTGATATATAATTATATTTTAATATTATTATAAGGTAATGTAATGCTTAAGAGTGGTTTTAAGTTTCTTTAGTTAATTATATAGAAGTATCCATATATAGATATTGTTATAACTTCATGGACTTTAGGCTTGTGATTAAAAATAAGAAGTGCCTTGGGAGTAGTATGTAATTTGACGATATCATGGAGCTTTTAAAACAAAATTTGTAAAGCTTGGCCTTTTGTGTTGGTTAGATCCAAATGTTGATAATGGAAAAGTGACTATAGTTGAGTTGAGCATGGGGAAAATGGGGACGTTAAGATGAATATTTGACAAAATCTGAAATAAAAGGATGGAGGAATGATTATAATACTATATTAATGAATGGTTTGTGTAACATTTATTGAATATAAGGTATATAAAAATAGTTTTTAAAGGATTCAATTAGCAGGATGTTTAGATGTGTGGCTAAACTAAGAATGAAAGGTTGAATGATTATATTACTATCTTAGAGTAATGATTGAAATAGCATCTATTAAAGTTAAAGTATTGAAAATAAATTTAACTGGTTTGGACATGTGCTACGAAAGGCAACAATTGTTACAATTAGATGGACAGATATATTATTAATGTCAAAGGATTAGGAAAGGGTGGGCTTAAAGATAGCATGGAAAAAAGGTGGAGTTTTGCATGCATTCTACTAAAATTTTAGTTATTCATCATAGTTAATGGTGGAGCCTTTTTTTTTTGGGAGGCACGAATTGTCGATTTTAAAAATACCTTCAACATTTTTCATTTGGACTTTAGATTGACATCGACAGTTAAATAAAAAATAGAATTATTAATATAAAAATATAAATTACATAACAAAAAAAAATCAAGAGCATATGATAATACTTGCTTTGTAGCTTAGAAGCTCAAAATATGCTTTTTCATACTCAATCCAAATAAATAAATTTTCTGAAGAAACAGATTCAGAATCGAACTAAAAAGTATTAAAATCGCTTTAAACTTCTCCACAAGCGTGTGAAAGATCCATTATAAAACAAATGTGGAAAATAGAGGTAACATCAAATAATATGTTTGTAAGAGAACAATAGTTTGAGACTAAACAAAAATGCTAATATCACGTAAACGATGCTAGTTTCATGTGCTTTAAGGCTTAAGCAAACAAGATGGGAGGAACAAAACTGTTGGTGATTTTACGAAAACAAATAAATTCAAGGAGAAAATCATTTCAATAAATAGCAAAGACTTATTTACCAAAAAGTTGAAACTTGAACCATATACAAACAGCTGCTTCTTCAACAACCAGCTCCAGAGAGGATTTCATGACTAACAAGGAAAGGAAAGCGCTTACCTGACATCTAGCCATAAGGTCGAAGTACTCTGCGAGAATATCAACAATGAGTAAGCAAATTCATTCACTTACATATGATACAATCTAACAATTAAAAAAATTAAATTGTTTTATTGTGCTCTTCAATATTTGGGTCATATCACTACAAATAATAGCTCCTGGGTGTTATTATTATTAATTTGCAAGATTTAGATATTGCACATGAAATTTCCCAAAAAAGCTACTCAATAAAATTTATGAATAAAGGGTTAACACCTCATTTAGCGCTTAATAGGAACAAACAAAAATAATGATTCATAAAGCTGATTTCAAATAGTTGGGATAAGGGTAATGATCATGATGTTGTTGTATGCTTGTAGCCATTGGTGCTCCCTGAGATTTCCAATGCTGCAGGTGTTTGATTCCTTCCACTAAAAAAATTTTTGCATAATGAAATGTCTTTTTGTGAAGGTGTAAAAACTGCAAAGCTAGTGCAGCATAATTCCTGTGAATCTATCCTTAATCTCAGGGCTCTGATGTTCTTTAATTTTACAGATTTGAAACTTAAATCCGGTATAACAGTACCAGCAGGAGCAATTATTGTCGTTCCTCTGCCACTAGTTCATATGGATTATTCAGTCTGGGGGAAGGATGCTGATCAGTTTTATCCTCAGCATTTTATACCAAAGACTTGCTCACATAAAGGTAGTCTTAGTTAATTGCTTATTATTTTGAATAAATGAGACATGGGTTTTGGCTATGATGTGGAAATGCACTGCTTCTATTTAGTTTGTGTTTCATGGTGGTGAATCTGATTTTCTACTGCTTCCTTTTTTGTTCATGAGAAATTTTAGTGGGCTATTCTTCAGTTCATGTTTTGATTATACTTTTATGTGAATTTAAACATTCAGCTCCAACAGTTTGAATGCATTTCAACTGCAAATGTATAAGAAAATAAGTTCATGATTTATATAGTTTATTTATTGACCTATGCATACGCTCACGAAGTAATACAAATCAAACTTGGTCAGGATCAATGTTGACAGCAGTTGTTAAGCGTAGGATCACACAAAATTAATTCAATGATTTTTGATTGAGTTCAGAGTTGTCCATATATCACTTGTATCACCAAGTGAATTGAGTTGATGCAATTAGAATGTTAAAATTTTCAAGAAAAAACCATTAAGATCGATGACCAAATGATGTGATGTCTCGCAAGTCTAGCTTAAAACTCATCACATAAATCAAATTCGTCAAACTATTTCTTTCGTAAAACAAACTGTGTTGACGCATCTGAAATGCTGGAAATAGTTAGAGTAGAAACCCATATTGCCTTATCCACTCCACAAATGAGAAACATAAATTTACCCGCACATGGGGCAATGACATAATTTGTGACATGCATGATGAAAATTGCGAGAGGATTGACTTGCATTTTATTAAATTTTCCTCTCTTAAAAAATTAAAATTCTATTTTATATATAGTTTATCATTAGATAAAATCTTTGGTCAAAATTTATTTATTATATAATTAAATAAATATATTTATTCAATTAAAATCAAAATATTTTTTTGTTATCTCTCTCTCTCTCCCCCCCATTATATGTATATAATCAAAATTAATTTTATTTATAATAAAATGTACACCCTAATATCGTAACTAACCCCCTTTCCCCACATCTCCCACAACTTTTCCATGATCTCTCCATTTCAAATCCCCTGGCCCCGCTTGTCCATCTCATGTTTCCTCTCTCTCTACCAAACCCATACAACCAAGCCCCCTCGAAGTCTCTTATGACTTTCTCTTCCCCTTCATGCGTGAAATGCTCTCTCTCTCTGCTTCTCTCATCTCACGTTGTAGTCTTGTGGGGGGATCATGATCTACCTGCTACCTCTGCAGCTCCCTCTCTGTCTTCCTCTCATGCGCAACAAACACTTGTTCTAGCCTAGTTGCACCCAAAGCTCCCTCATCACACATCTTATGATCTTCTCACCAGGGACAACCATACCACTCTCTCATCTTCTCTTGCTTGAAATGGGTTCTATCACACGACTCCTAAACTCTCTTGTGTGCTTCTCCTTTCTCTCTGACCTCTCTGAATCGTAGCAACTTTGTCTCAATTGCGTATGTTGTCCTCTTTCTCAATCTTCTAACAACTCAAATCTCCACATTCTTTTCTTGCCAATGAGTGTCCAAGCCCCAGTAACCATTCTTACCCTTACTCAACAACTTGTATCCTTCATGGCTGCACAAAATCCTCTATTAGTTAAGAATGATTTAAATTGTCCTTATAAAAAAATATTTACCTCAAGTCTTCAAGGTCCACTTTGACGATGCAACCTGTGGCTACTGACAATAATCTTTCATTCTGTTTGAGTCGACTACCTATGCTGACTACCCAAAATGACTCTTCACTAGATTCATCAGGTTCATCATCATCCCTCCACCATTTACTTTAAAGTAAAAGCGGTAAATTTTGCTATCATGAAATCAAAATTATTGCTATTATAAGTGATGCACTTAACGCCTACCGGTCGATCTTAATCAAAAGTTCTCTCACATCATCAGGAGGGACATAAGGGCTTGTGCCTATGAGAAATCTTGAACGAAATTATAAAGCTTTGACAATGTCTCTGTGTGGTGTCTTATTACAATCTAATTTGATTTCTGAAAAATTTGCTTGAAACTATATCAGAAGAGCTTGGCATGAATTTTTGGATCCCATGATATTGTTCTTTTTTTTTGGTTTTTTTTTATCTTCGACTTCCCATGCTTGTGACTTAGAATTTAAACGATCATGTTTAAAAATACACTTGATTCCGTACGCATGCAAATCCATTATTTTAATTATGAAAACAAGTATAGGAAACATATAAAATCCATTATTCTAAATCAAGTAAAAAAAAATCTTAAATTTAATTGTCTAAAAAGAATTTCTGCAAGCTTTTTTTTTCTCACAAAGTATTAGAAGAAAAAAAATAAACTAACTCCGAATGAATTAATTATTTACTTTGCTTACTAATTTCACTGCTTCCTTTTATAATTAATATTTTTTTCTTTTCAATTTTTAATTATGAATGTACTTTGCAAATTATAAAACTTGATTTAAAATAAATTTTCTAATTTTAAGTTTTTACATGTTGAAAATCTCCTTTTTAGTTACGGTTTTAAAGTAAATTATTTCCCATATAAATGCACGGATAATTTGCTGTTTGATTTATATAAGAACTACTCCTGGTTAAATTAATATGGAAACAACTTCTCAGCAGATCTTGCCATCTTGGAGCTATTTCTCTCTATCATGTACGGTTTCTGTGAAAAATCCCTTCATTATATGCCCTGATATAGAATGGTTTTTAATTACTTGTTTCTAAAACTCACTTTTGCATAATCTTGTTCGTCTTGAATTGCTCAAATATCTTGATATTTTTGTTTAATATAGATGGCATGTTAGATGAGCATGAGGCTTCAAAAGAAATTACAAGTGAACTGCAAATAGATGGGTCATTTCTTTCTTTTGGTTCTGGTGCAAGATCATGTGTTGGGCAGAAGTTTGTTATACTCGCACTTTCAGCATTGTTTGCATCATTGCTTGATAGTTATGAGGTTTGTTATCTGCTTCATTATGTCATTTTTTTTCTTTACTTGGATTGAGATGCCTAAAATTATTTTTCAAATGCTGACTTGAATTTATTTATTACGTGGAAGAAAAAAGGCTAGAAAATTTTAATTCTTTTCTCATTGATGAGGATAGTAGGTGCATTTCAATATTATAAAGTCTCTTCTCTGAAAAGAAAACTAGCTTGCACTATATATATATGTGTTGCTCTCATGGGCGGATCCCCATATTAGTGAGGGGGGGCAAATGCCCACCCTCAAAATTTTTTTTTTTTAATTTTAGAGGGTATTTTTTAGAATATTTTGGGTATTTTGCCCCCTCTCAAAAAAATTTTTTGCCATAATTTTATCAATCCTAATCATTTTTTTCCATCCCCTACCAAAAAACATTTTTTGCCCACCCTAAAAAAAGAAGCTGGATCCGCCCCTGGTTGCTCTTGGCCAAAAATTACATTTAAACATGGTAATTTTCTTAACATCTATATACAATCATTTTTTAATTCCTTCAATGCACTGCACATTTCCAACAATCCCTATGAAGGTGGTGAATAGATGTTTTCCATTGCTAGCTTGGATAGAATTGTTTAAAACACTTCATTGTAGGCTTATTATTTGCAATTTGCCAGTCAATTGATATATAGGCTGTGCAATCACGTAACCATCTAGTTTTTCTTTAATGAAGCATAGGTCTTCTGTTATATGTGCTTTGCTTGACCATGATGCATTAGATTATGAGCTGTGTTGATTGGAGGTTTATTGTTGCAGTAAAGTCTCATTGGGCTGCCCACAAAATCTTCAATTCCTCGGGAATTAATTGAAATCAAATTGGTTTCACAAACATCTTATGCTCTTACTCGAAACTTTGCTTTAAGACTTGATCTTGCCACTACATTTTACTTTTTTACTTCTCTATATTCAAACCCATGAAGAAAGGTGCAATATCTAGAAGTTTTTCTTCTATTCACTAGACCAAGCATAATCAGCATTTCTACACTTGTTAAGTACTAGACTTGCGATTCTTTGGAACAATATTCTCATCCATAGAGTTTCTTTTAGATACTTTAATACTTGATTTATAGCCTGTATGAAGATATTCGTTGGATAATGCATAGAGTGGTTGATCACAGTAATATCATAATTTTTATCTGATATTGTTGGGAGATATAAATAAGTCTTTCGACTAGGCATTTAATATTGATTCTTGTCCACCTTAGCTTCTCCAAGTTTTGTGATCGAGATTTAGTGTACTTGGTAGTTTACTCACCATTTTTTTAATTTCTTTCTAGAGGTTACTGACCTGATTTTGTATAGAGGTGAAGATTTATTGAAGTGTGCGAGTTCAACTTCTAGAAAGTTATTTTATTTTCCTACGTCTTTAAGCTCAATTTTTTTACCAAAATATTGCATAATTTTTTTTTTTCATTTTTAACTTCCCTAGTTATAGTTATATGATCAACATAGACCAAAAGGATCGTGACTTACCTTGAGTTTGAGTGTCTGATGAACATTGTATGATCTCTATGAGTTTGCTTGTATCTCGTGGCTAGCATCTCCTTTGCAAACCAGACAAACCATGCCCTCAAAGACTTTCAACCTATATGATATCTTTTTTAGCTTACATGATTTATAGCAAAATCCCTTCCAAATTCAACTAGAAGCTTCATATAAATCTCTTCTTCATGGCCTTCTTGGTGGAATGTATTTTTGCCATCAAATTGTTTGTCATAATTAGCTGCCAGAGATAATATACTTTTTAAATATATCTTGGAAAAATCTTCAAATATATATATATATATACATATCTTTATAATTGGAACAAAAGTCTCTTGATAATCTATGACATGTTTTAGCATATTAATCTTGCTTAGATCTCTTTGGTGATCCACTTAGTATTTCACAATGTAAACTCATTTGCAACCCATGAGCCTTTTTTCTACAAAAACTCACAGGCTCCCATATTTTATTTTTTTTTTAGGTTTTCATTTCTATTCTCATAGCTTATTTTCAATTTTTATTTGATGAACGAAATCAACCCAAACACAGCTTAAATTGGAGCTGGCAAATAAGTGTTCACCAACTTTGGTACGTCTTTCTTTCTGCTTCTTAAAGCAACTTCTTAGTACAAAAATTAATTTTTTTGTACCAGGAAGCTGCTTTAAGAAGCAATAAGAAAACCGTCCTAAACGAAACCTAATTTTGTTCTAGTGATAATGATAACGATCATATAAATCCTGCTAGGCTATATGGTTTTATATCATTCACAGACAAATGCTCTTCTGAAATTCTATAATATCTGTTCCTATCCTTATTATTTATTTCATTATTACATGCAGATAAGGCTTCATCCTGGATCTGACAATGATCCCAAGGCCAGATTAGATGGATGCTGTGTTCAGCTTCACCCCAGCCCTAATATTGTCTTCATCAAAAGAAACAAGACTTGAACATCTCATATTCTCAAAAATAGATCAAATAATCAGATAAGAAAATTTGCAGGCGCATTGTGGTGTCCTCTACATGGACAAACCAGACTGAAAGGAACTTGTTTGATTATGCTTTTGACTGTTTCTCCTCCCAAGTTTTTAACAGCTCCCAGAGATCTTTTCCGTTCCTTCCTAAGAACATGGAAGTTGTTGGAAGCTGTTACACCAAGAGGAATGCTTGTTTTTGGATTTCCAAGTGTTTTTCCTCCATAGGAGTTTGTTGTAAAAGTTTATGGCTTTGGCCTTTGTGTGATTCCAAACTTCAAAAACTTATAAATATGTATATTTAGTTCAAGTCAAGAACATAGTATGGTGGAATGGATAGAAAAATAAGACTTTTTGTATAGAATAAGTTGAATGGTTGTTTGTCTCATTGAGCATCTACTATAGCAGTGTTAGTAGTTTCTAGATGATAATATCTAGTTTATATTAAGAAATATAAAGTATCATAAGTGTTTACAAATATGTAGTTTTCTTATTTCTTTTTTTTATACTGAAAATGTAATTATAAAGAATTCATATCATGATTATTCGATAAGTTTTACGCTGGTTGTCGATTAAATAACTCATCCTCCACTTTTTTCATCCAGAATTTGGGACCTAACAACGATAATATTAACTATATCTTTCTATTATTTATCAATCATGAACACTTCTTTCAACCTACATGTTTCTAACACATCAATCCACTTACCAAAAGACCAACACTCATCTCCATTAGCACCAACTTTATTATGAAACTTACAACCCAAACTTTTTTTCATGGTGCTTCCAAGTATATGTCAACCTTACTAGATACAACCTCCTTAGTTGTGTTGATGAAGATGACCCTTGCCTTTAAAATCCTTGGTAGCCTTGACAATAAATTGTAAGATGTTAGGTTTCATTTGACATGGCTTTCTTGTTTCTTTATAAAACAATTTTCTAATATAAAATTTCTAGCTCAAAAAATTATTTATTTAAAAGTTACTTTAGAAAACAATAAAAAAGTTGCCCCAAATGAAGCCTAATTTTGCTATCCCATTACATTTGAAGTGTTATATGAAAATATCATAAGCTTTCAAGCACATCTCAAATCTAATGCAAGGCAGCAACCAACTTGCTTCAAATCTTGGTAGTAGTAGATCAAATCAGCATAAGCCCTCTTACAATTGAGAAATTATTCTGTGGCGCATTCTGATTGGTCTTCAGACAGTGTTTGGCGTCCGCTCAGAATAATTAATCATTACAATTGCCACACTAAACAATATAACAAACATGGTTGTTCCTACAATAATTAAATGATTCACTTTACCTCAATACTTTGATAAATGCTAATTGTCTTGTCAATAAGGTCTGCATATTGGCAATAATACCAGACTACCCATCACTCACATTAGTTTAGTAAGTCTCTTCTTCCTTAAAAAATAATTTGAGTGCCCAATATGACACATATTAGTTCTCAATTTTGTAAGAATAATAATATTTTCATTGAATTCTTGTTGGTTTCCTTTTTTTTTTTTTTTTCATGTCAAGTTCCTATACTCCAATTACAACAATGATATCCTCATGCATGGTTTGATAAAGGTTGCATCGATGCGTGGCCCCGCTAAAAAGTTGTGCTTCCCTTCACTACTAAAGCATTTAATCAATCTATGGTATCTTCATCCAGATTAGGGGTGCAAGTGAGTCAAGTTGGCTCGCGAGTCAGCTCTAACTCAGCTCGTTAACAAACTCACGAATCGAGCTTATTGAGTTTCGAATTTGAATTCGAGCTTTCAATCAAGCTCATATATTATTTGAGTTCAATTTCACGCTAAGCTCGACTCGACTTTTAAACTCATCAAGTGACTTGATTAAAAAAAAGATAATAAAATAACTTTGTCGAACTCCCATATAATATTGGGTTTCGCTTCAAGCCTTCGACACCCTAGTTGTATTATGACTTATGAGATTCTTGAGAGCTTGCGATCTGTGATGGCTGCAATCCTACAAGAAACATCTTCCCGTGCCCTAGAGTGACGACATGTGCGAGTGCAACAACCATCTTCTTTGGAAGATGCTGAAGGCATCCTTGGGTAAGAAAATATAAGGAGCTCCAACTTATCCTGAAGGAATCACAGTTATTTCACTAGGTAAGTTTTCCTCCAGTGTTATAAGAGAAAAAATGCCTTAGTGATGAAGGGCTCTCTCCTCTTTGTTCGATGGCTTCTTTAATGTTGTTTTCTTTGATAGGATTTAGAAATTTTAGTTCTCTGTGACTCCTGATTTTATGTTATTTAGTTGTCTTGGTGATGCTGCCTTTCGATTTTGGTTATAGCTGTCATTCGATTATATATATTTTAAGTTCTGGTGGGATTCTATTCTTTGCCATTGACGATAATGTTGTTCCCTTAATAACCATATCTACTCCCCTTGAAAGGTTGTTTGGTAACTAAGGCGATGAGGTGCGCTTTGCTGATTATACATGATTGATTGTTTTTGCTCTGAGTCCAAACATTTGTATTTTAATGTTGTTAAAGTTCAAGAGCTCAATTCAGTAGCTAATGTTGGCTCTCCCTTGAGTGCCCTCTCTATTCGAATCTGGTTCATGTTACTGTTATGTTTTTTATATTACAAGGTCTGATGCCTTGTTGTTGCTGACTTGAACATACAACCACTAACTTGGTCCTTAGGTTTTGGGGATGAAAGATTAGTATCTTTGATGATTTAGCATACATATGGTCATTCGATAGAATCATTAGGTGCTATTAGTTTGCTTATGAAGGTAATTATGCGTTGATGCTTTCCTCTGTCATGTGAACTTTGTTTTGATTGATATCATTGTTTAGTTATTAGGAGGCATTGCTTCATGAAAGTAATGCTTTATATATATGTATATATGTACCATACATATGCATCATAAATTAAATTATCTGGGTGTGGTGTTCCTAACTTCATAAGGGTTATCTATGGCATCTAGCTGTTTATGTGGCTTAAAATCGCTTTATTTAAAGCATCAGCTTTAACTGATTTTTCTTCTTAATTGGTCGAAGGGTTCCTTTATCTGGCATTGCTTTTTTTTTTTTTTTTTCCTATTGGTATATAATAATGTTGGTATTCTGGATAATGCGCTTGATTCCTCTTCTGCTGTTGGTTATTCTGTTGTTGGTATTGTGGATTTCTGCTGTTGGAGAAATTTTATGGAGAAAGTTTGAACCCCGACAGATGAATGATGATGAATTATTTGCATTCTTACATTGATGGGTTTGACAACCGTAGTTGGATGGCCGTACAATATATTTGGGGGCAGATACTACTTTGTTTTTTTCGATCTTGGAAACCATTAGATGATGGATGGTCGCTTTTGGACCTAGGGAGAAATTTGCCTATGAATCGTACTGATTCTTGTGATGTAATTTGTTTTTTTGAGTTTAAAGTTGGAGTTATTCCCAAAAATTTGTGGTTAAAGCATGAGATAGAAATTCTCATTTATCATATTATGGCATTTATATTCTAAAATAGTTCTTTGCTCTTAATTTTTAAGGTTTGCTTTAAAGTTCAATGGTTCTAATGAGGAATGACTTCAAGATTGCAACATATGAAATATTTCATAGATCATCATATGAAGATTTTTGCAATTTGTGAACTAACTTTGTTAAAAATTATAATATTTCAAATTATATTTTTTTGAATTGGTGTAAATGTACTGATATATTTGAATAGTATAGCTTTTGTTTGGTTTTGCTTTGATTTGATTTTTTAATTTGAACAAGTAACATTAAAAAAAATCCTTAAATTTAAAGTTAAAACAACAAAATTTGAGCTTCATAAACAAGCCGAATTTGAGCTTTTGAAACTAGTAGAGTAATCGAGCCGAGCTCGAGCTTAAATTTTTTACAACAAGTTGAGTTCAAGCTCAGGGTGAGCTAAACGAGCTCAGCTCGATAATGCCATTTATTCGACTCGATTCGTTTACATCCATAATGATCACCCCTCCTCAGTCAATCTGCATCACTTAATGTCTAAGTGTATCTTATTTATATATTCATCATATTTGCACTTTTTTACTATATAAAAACTATTTTTTTAATATCCCATTAGTTATCATAGCTCATATATTATTACAATGGGACGCCTTCATTTACCACGACCATAATTACTATTTTATTTGCTAACCACCTTAAAACTAATTAGTGATATTATTATTTAATGAAAAAAATGAACAAGAAGCGTTTGTAGTCCAACGGTTAGGATAATTGCCTTCCAAGCAATAGACCCGGGTTCGACTCCCGGCAGACGCATCAAATTTGCTTTATTTGAATATATTTTTAATTCAGAATTAATTTTAATAATTTTTAATTTCAGAATTAATTTTAATTATTTCAATGGTGACTTCGATATATTATTATTTCTTGAAACATGAATTATCATCATATAATTGTTGGTGTTTTAATTATTATTATTAACCTTATTTAAAAAATAATAATAAATAATGTTTAAAACAATCATAACTTTTTGTCTTTTATGTTGAATTTTTATGTGGCTAATGATCAAATAAAAATCAAAGCCCAAACATTGAGATTATGCATCCTCACCCTCATATAATTTAATATAGATTATAAATATAAAGAACTTATATTATATTAATTTTAAACAAATTTTTATTTTTTAAGATAATCTTGATTTATAGATAAAAAATACCTCAAGGAATCTTGTTTCAAGATTACAAGATTGCTTATTTTATAATATCTCCACTGGGGCTCTAAAGTAATTTGCCTTTTTGCAGATTTTTTTCGCTGATATTCACATGGTTCCCATGCATTAAAAAAAAAAAAGAAAAGAAAAAAAAAAGAACTCATTTTTTTCTTCTTCTCAGTTCCATCTCTACTGATCAGAAGAATGCGATCACTCTTCCACCTCAAGAACGGTTTATAGATAATCAATCTGATATCTTTCTTCATCCAAGACCCACTCATATCCCATATTTCCCTCTTCAGCTCTATCAGCTCTCTCTTATCAGTGATCGAAGCCCTCAGTCTATCAGATTTTCTGAGTTTCAGTGGAGAGACCCTAAAGTTCAAAGCTTTGGGCTGGTTTTAGTTGGGTGTTGCTCAGCTTCCTTGCGAGAAGTTATTTGTAAGTTCTCTGGCTTTGCTCAGTTGCTCGGAATGTCTATTTGGATCAGATCTTGTTTGGGTTCTGTGTGTTAATGGAAAGTGGTGAGATTTTGTTATTGAGTAGTGTAGCTTATTTGTCATGACATTTCTGATTGATATTTTTGGATATGTAGAAATCAGTTTAGTTGTTCTGTGTTTTAGTACACTGCATTGGTCTCAACTCAAATCGGAATGGAAGCTTTTTATTCAAGCTGTAAAATTTATTTGTTTCTTCGAGGATTTTGAATGTTCTGCGCTAAGTAATTGTTATTGTGAGTTCGAAGCTTCAGTAGTTGGAATTTAAGAAAATGGTTTGATTGATTAACAGTATTAGCCACATCATAATTATCGAATTCGAAATAAAATTTCACATGGCAATTACACAGCAGATTCTGGTTGTTTTTTTTGTGCTTTTGAGTGCTCATGTTTAAGTAGTTTGTGTGGCATTAATCTTTCTGTAACTTTGCTAGATTAACAGAGGGCATTTTTGTTTCTATTTTCCGGTAGGTTTGATCTATTTTAGAGACTTTGAGAAGAGATGGTAAATTTAGGATCAAAGAAGCCCCCCTTAAGTTCAGTTATCTTAATCTTTAGAATCCCTTACTATACACAATGGGGACAAAGCCTACTTATTTCTGGATCCGAACCAGCGCTTGGAGCAGGGAATGTAAAGCAAGGTTTAGGTTTGGTTCCAGTTCATCAAGGAGAGGAACTTATCTGGCATGGGAAGATTTCTGTGCCAATTGGATTTCAGTCTGAGTACTGCTATTATTTAGTCGATGACAATCGAAATATTTTGAGATGGGAAGCTGGGAAGAACCGGAAAGTTTCTCTGCCAGAAGGAATCAAAGAGGGAGAGGTTATGGAAATTCATGATCTTTGGCAGGTGAAGATTGACAAATTTATTTGTATTTTTTTGTAAAACTGTTTCTTTTTTATCCCAATCCTGTGTATATGCTATTAACAGCCAGCTTCAGAAGCTCTTTTCTTGAAAAGCGCCTTTAAAACTGTTATATTCGGTGGTTCTCTAAACTCGGATCCAAAATTTCCTTTTGAAACCAATCAAACAGATGAAAATCAAGAAGGTATACTCTCCATGTACCCTTAAGAAGCCAACTTCACCAAAACATGTTATATGATCTTATATTATCTCTTTCTTTTCTTCTTACAGATTCTATTGTTGTTTTGTTCAAGATTAGCTGCCCAACTATAGAAGAAGGAACATCTGTAAACATCTCCATGGCGATATTGTTTGTTTAGAACTGCAAATTCTTAGTCATACGAGAACATCAGAGGTCTAATATGAAATATTACAGGTTTATGTCACTGGCAGTGTGAGTCAATTAGGGCAATGGAGGATTGAAGATGGACTGAAGCTTAACTATACAGGAGAATCTATTTGGGAATCATATTCAGTTGTAAGAAAAGTCGACTTTCCGATAAAATATCCTTCTAAGATTTATCTGATCTTAAGTTATCATTTCCTTTTTTCCCTCTCAATTTATGAGTTTGAATAGCATTCTCTACATAACATTTTTTTGTCCTTATACTGTCATCACTGTTATCACTCAAATATTTGTTTAGTCCTTAGCAAAAATCCTACATACAAGTATTACCAGAGTTGCAATCAGCGAGGTGCTTCCATGGAAATTGGTCCCTATAGGGAGTTAGCTCTTGACATGACATCCGGCTCAATACCTAAATATGTTGCTCTGTCTGACGGATCTTTTAGGGTAAATAAATAAGGTTTCATTTGGGACGGCTTTCTTATTGCTTCTTAAAGTAGTTTTTAAGTAAAAAAATCAAAATTTTTGTACTAGAAAGTGCTTTAAGAAGCAGTGCCAAATGAAGCCTAAGTCTGTTTCACCACTTAAGAAGTGGAGTTTGTCCTTTAAATCAAGGGCTAATTTTTTCAGGCAATTCCCTGGAGGGGTGCTGGTATTGCTATACCAATGTTTTCTGTTAGGAGCAATGACGACCTTGGCGTCGGGGAATTTCTCGATCTAAAACCTCTAGTTGATTGGGCAGTGGAAACAGGCTTTCATCTAGTTCAATTATTGCCTATAAATGATACTTCAGTTCATGGGATGTGGTGGGATTCGTATCCCTACAGGTAGACTACAGGCTGATTGAGCTTGAAGTAGTTAACCTTTGTGTATTCCATTATTGAATTCTTTACTTTCTTTTAAAGATGACTTTTAACTACTTGGTTGGACAGTTCTCTCTCTGTGTTTGCTCTGCACCCTTTGTATCTCCGAGTTCAAGCACTTTCGGAAAAAATTCCACTAGATTTGAAGGTTTTGTTGTAATGTTTGCTTCATTTTACACAGCTTTCAGTTTTAGTATGTTTAGTCATTGCTTGTTTTCCAGCTTATTTTTTTCCATCCAGTGATTTAAATGTTTTGAATATGTTCTGCAGAAAGAGATTTTGCTGGAAAAGGAGCGGCTGGATAGAAAGGTAATGCTGATATTTTTCTTTGCTATCTCCATTTCATATGCACACTGGAAGTTATTAATATATGCTTATTTGTGCAACCTTCCTATTATGGTGCTTTGTTATGGTAAAATGAGTGCAAAATATTGTTTAGATCAAAGTTAGAGAAGGATGGAAAGTAAGGATTGTTTAGATCCAGGTTGGGGTTATATAGGAGATGCAGTGGAGAACTTATGATCTTGGTTCACTATGATTTTGTACTCTGGAAGTCATTTATACCAAGCTAACTTTGTATAGTATGAACAAGACTTAGAATATTTTCCTAGCATGGTTTGATTAACTCCATTGTGGAGGAACACTTAGGTTAAATCATCCCGTACGATACAAAATCGTACATAATGATTAGTTTAAAAAATTTAGGTTTTTACACACCCCTAGTGTGTGTGTGTACGGTTACCTAATTACAATCAATATCTCTTAGACTCAAGAAAAATATAAAAAGTACATACTTCAAATATAATAATTCCTAGTCTAATTTGTCTTGAAGTTTTTAACTGTCTAGAGTATGATTTTCTTAAAATATTAGTACAAAAAAATAACAAAAATAATATTTCCAATATATGTTAGGATAAATAGTAATCAATACAAAAATATTTTAGAATCATAAAAAATATACATGATATGTAAATATAGTTATGAAAACTAAGTTGCAATAATTTTCCGGAGATGCAGTGGAGAACTTATGATCTTGGTTCACTATGATTTTGTGCTGGAAATACTTGAGTTCGCAAGTAATCCAAGAGGAAATACTTGAGTTCGCAAGCAGCCCTAGCAATAATTGGTACAAACAGCGAGAATAATGCGAAAATCTGGATGAAATTAATCCAAAAACGATAGATTGCAATAATTGAATCAAAGCAAAGCAAATCCAAAGCAAGATACAATTGATCCTCAATTTCAGAGCAGGATTGTTCTCTCCCAATCTCTAGATTATGGATCTAGAGCCCAAGACGCCAAGGAAAACTCCAAGAGAACAACTCAAAGCATGCATGCCCTAACCCTAACCTCCCCTTAATCTTGTAATACATATCTTCCTAATAAAAACCAATAAAAAGTATCCTAAAATAAACCAATATTCAAATAGTTTTCCTATGCAATTTCTGCCCCCTTCCCTCTCTCTCTTTGCCGCCCTAGGGGGCCCAAAAGCTTGGGCGGCATTCAAAGGAGGCGGCTTAGGTTGCCTCCTATAGGTCTGAACCGGCCCAGGTTGAGCGGGTTTGGACAGTTCAGGAAGAACCGTAACAGTTTCATTGAGTGGAACTAATAATTTCTTATGGAAAACATGATGTGTTCATTTCCCAAATAGCTAAATGAGCTTTCACATCTTTACCATCTATGAAAAATGCTATATTTTTTTAGTGCAGGATGTTGATTATGAGGCCACATTGGCTGCTAAATTAGCCATTGCAAAGAAAATATTCAATCTGGAGAAGGATGAGATACTTAATTCCAGCTCCTTCCTAAAATTCTTATCTGATAATGAGGTATATATATCATATTCTCCTATCTTGGCTGTCTCATTTCTGCCTTTAAAAGAATTTAAGTGCTGAAGCTCTTGCAATTTCATGAATTTGGATGTATAAGAGCTGCATGTGTGAACTTTTAGTAATCAAGCTTTGACTCTACTAATTTTAACAATGAAATAGGAGTGGTTGAAACCCTATGCAACATTTTGTTTTTTGCGGGACTTCTTTGGAACATCAGATCATAGCCAATGGGGTCGCTTTGCTCAATTTTCAAAAGAGAAGGTGATTGAGCTAAATAATTCCTCCTTGTATTTCTTTTATTTAGTGGTCATTTATGGATATCCAACAATATGTTATTGTGAGTTCTCAATTTATCTTTTACCAAGTGGTCCTTTCATTTTTTTTCCCAGCTAGAGAAGCTAATCTCAAAGGACAGTTTACACTATGATGTCATCTGCTTTCACTATTACATTCAGTACCATCTGCATTTGCAAGTAATGAAAAAATTCTTATTTTGGAAAGTTTTTTGTCAGATAGAATGAACATTCATCTTATTTCATTGATCTCTTAGCTTCATTTTTTTTTTACTTATTCAAATTTTACTTGGTAGTTATCAGATGCAGCAGCTTATGCAAGAAGGAAAAAAGTTGTTTTGAAAGGAGATTTGCCAATAGGAGTTGATAGAAATAGTGTTGATACATGGGTTCATCCAAACCTATTTCGCATGAACACCTCTACTGGAGCACCTCCAGATTATTTTGACAAGAATGGACAAAACTGGGGATTCCCTACTTACAATTGGGAGGAAATGTCAAAAGATAACTATGCATGGTGGAGAGCTCGTCTTACGCAGGTTTACTTAACTTTTCATTGCAGTTAAAAATTGTCCTTAGTTGGAATCTCTTTTCTTTTCTGTGCTGGTTTGCTAATAATTAGGCTCTTTTGGTCTTGCAGATGGCTAAGTATTTCTCAGCATATAGGATTGATCATATATTAGGTTTCTTTAGAATCTGGGAGCTTCCTGACCATGCTGCAACCGGTTTAGTTGGCAAATTCCGTCCATCCATCGCTCTAAGCCAGGTTTTTTATTTGCTTGAAGTTGTGCAATTTTTGTGGTGGAGGGCCGGAGGCGGATAATTAACTTCTTTTTACATTCTTCTTGAAATTAATGTGATGTTAGGAAGAGCTGGAGAGGGAAGGTATCTGGGATTTTGATCGGTTGAGCCGTCCATATATTCGACAAAACATTCTACAGGTTTCTGGCTGCCAATTCCTTCTTTTGAGTAAAACTTTCTTTAGTTGCTCTCATTCCATGGCGTTTTGCAGGTAAAATTTGGAGCCAGATGGACAGTTATTGCTTCATGCTTCTTAAATGAATATGCAAAACAATGCTATGAGGTAGTTATCATGGTTTTGAATGTTTTTTTAATCAAAGTATGCTACTCTTTTGAAATAGCTCGCTTAAGAAACTGGCAATGACAGGGAACACAAGATATTTTGTTCTAATTCTGATGATCAAATGTTTTATGTTGTGTTTAGCAATGTAGATAATCAGAAAATGTCAAGCGTCATTTTGTGTGCATAGAATATGCCCAAGGACAGGGTTTTACCCGTTTGACAGATCTCATTTGCAATCATAAGTGTTATTTGAAGTTTCTATATAAATTCACCATGTGTGCAGTTGAATATTTCTCTCTAAGCACATTTAAAAATATTTTTATTGCAACAAGGCCTAGATTCTATGAACACTGTAAATTTGCATGAAGAAACTCTAGGTTTCTTAATTTGCAGAAAATCAAACTCCAGATTTCTCTTGGTGCGCCGCCATTCAAGCTATAGGAAGTTTAAAGCTGTTACTTATGTAAATCGATATCATGGGTTCGACTTCGGCAGATTTCCTTGGCGTGATTTGCTTCCTTTATGCGTCACTATTCCCCGTTCCCTTATTAGCTTGATGTGAGGTTGCGATTTTTATCTCCCATAACTCAAGGGAAAGGTCACTGTAGTTGTTATGGAATTGTAAAAAACTTGAGATTTTGATATGCTGACCTGATAAGGATAGATGTGATTATAGATTAGAGTGCTGATGCATGTATGAAGGAAACTTTTTGGCTTATTTATATTTCAGGTTCCCTTCATTCTTGTGTGTGCTTATTAGTGTGGTGCAAGTGAGATTGTTAATATTCAGAAGAATTTATTTCATTGTACTAATATGAAGCTTAGTTTTCTCTACTTGGTGAATTTTAATCATACTTTTTCCTCTACAGTATTTGTAATGGTTTTTGTGAGTGTGCTTAATTTTAGTACATTTTGTTACATTTTATTTTTGCAATTGGATTTTAATTCCAATCAGATTGTGGATTTTGGCGGCTTTAAATTTCTAGTTGAATTTAATTGATCATTAAGCTGTTTATTGCAACAGAAGTTAGCAGATAATTATTTAATTGATGGTCTTTGGAAGTTCAAATTTTAAATTTGATTTATATGCTTTCATACATTACATCACTTGGTTGCATTAGAAATCCTAGACTCTAAGGCTTCGTTTGGGATGACTTTCTTAATGTTTCTTAAAGCAGAGAATAATACAACATCCTTAATCGAGAGTATTCTTAGGTCAAGGCCTAAGATGTAATTAATCACTGGGACTTGCGCCTATGGGAAACCGACACCCACATCTAATAAAACTCATTCGAGCTGATGTATCAGATGGGGGAAATCTTATGATTATTGTGTCATATATATTATTATCCATCGAGGTGTGTAAGTGAAAGCCACCATCCTCCATAATTAATCGTATGTATAAGCCTATCTGTTCTCCCATTACTCTGCTCGCATAGAGTGTAAAGGCCTATAATCTTTTTGTCATATGGGATAGTACGATTGTGCCCTTTACATTCTGACCCCCATTAGTAGCATCCTTTCGAAGACCCATAACAGTATAATAGGTTATTCCAACTATGCATTAGATGGCCTGCTTATAAGTAGTTCCTGCTCCACTTCGCCCGTACGGGCTCAGAGCATGTTATGCTCAGCAGTTGGATATCTGCTCTATAAATTAGAACCACTAGCTTCTAACCGTCTTCTTTAAGCTATGTATTTATCTTCTCCACTGTGTGGTGATTGAGATCAATAGAGGACTTACTGTTACAACATTTCCTGTTTACTTTTCTAATATTCGTGTGAGGATTTCGGTAATATACTTCTTGCAGGTTTCTTACCTCTTCATATTCAACCCTGACCTTCTCTTTCCATGTTCTCTTCTATATGATCACATTTATGTTTATTTTTTTTCTTATTTTGGTTTTACATGTTTAGTTCAAGGACGACTGTAATACAGAGAAGAAAATTATCGAGAAGCTCGGATTGCGCACAGAGAAATCATTGTGGGCTGGTAATGAGGTTGAAGTACAGAGAGGACTCTTTGATCTTTTACAGGTAGTTTGCCATCATGGTCTTCTGTAAAGTTTAATGGTTTTTTAGTGGGCTCATTTATATAATTTCCAAGTTTTTTTGGTTGTGAAGAACATAGTTCTTATCCGAGATCCTGAAGAACAAGGAAAGTTTTATCCTCGGTTCAACCTTGAAGACACATCAAGCTTTCAAGATTTAGATGATCACAGGTATGCCTATGAAATGTTTAGGGAGGGATTATGTTTTGTTTGGTTCTCCATTAGGGTTTTTTGGTGACTTGGGCTCTAGACTCTCTTGTCTAGAGATTTGGGAGAGACGATCCTCCTCTCGAATTGAGGCTCACTTGTATCTTGTTTCCGTGCTGGTTTGGCTTTGTTTTTTGTATTGCAATCTATCATTTGTGCTGTTTTTCTCCCATATTTTGTGCTATTCTCGCTGTTTTTCACCAATTCGTGGTAGGTTTGCTTGCGAACTCAAGTATTACCCTTAGGGTTACTTGCAAACTAAAGTATTTCCTATCACAATATTCCTAATTGAAATATTTTTGTTTCAGTAAAAATGTTCTCAAACGATTATACTACGATTATTATTTCCACCGGCAAGAAAATCTTTGGCGTCAAAACGCATTGAAGACTCTACCTGTTCTGTTGAGCTCATCAGATATGCTAGCCTGCGGTGAAGATCTTGGTCTTATACCTTCTTGCGTTCATCCTGTATGTCCATCATCCTTATGAAAATGTTTTCTTAGGCTTCGTTTGGGACAGTTTTCTTACTACTTCTTAAAGTAGCTTTTTAGTACAAAAGTTTAATTTTTGTACTAAAAAGCTGCTTCCGGAAGCAGTAAGAAAGCCATCTCAAACGAAGCCTTAGGCTTCGTTTGGGATGGCTTTTTTATTGCTTTCTAAAATGGAGTTTTAGTACAATTTCTTTTAATTTTGTACTAAAACTCCGTTTTAGAATGCAATAAAAAAGCCGTCCCAAACGAAGCCTTAGGCTTTGTTTGGGACAGCTTTTTTACAAATTCTTAAAGCTGCTTTAAGAAGCTTAAGAAGCAAGCAGCCCCAAACGAAGCCTTAATCATCACAAACATAAAGAACATATTACAAGTTAATTTTACTTTGTCAGGTTATGCAAGAGCTGGGATTGATAGGCCTACGAATTCAGAGAATGCCAAGTGAGCCAGGCCTGGAGTTTGGCATTCCATCACAGTACAGTTACATGACGGTATAACTGTGCTTATCTTGGTTATTTATAATGAACTAGTTTATTTTAGATAATTTTTGTTAATAATTGCAATTACCTGTTACAATCATCGCTTAGCCGCGCTTATCTTGGTTTTTTATAATGAATTAGCTTATTACAGATACTTTTTGTTAAGTATTGCAGTCGCCTGTTACAATCATCGTTTAGCAGTGCTTATCTTGGTTATTTTTAGGTTATTTTAGATCCTAAGTTAGGCTAATAAAGCTTACTGTATTGAAATTTGGGTATTGTTCTATAAGACTATTTTCATTGAATGGTAAGGTATTGTCCAACATGTATGGCTTCGTTTGGGATGACTTTCTTACTGCTTCCTGAAGCAATTTTTTAGTTCAAACATTTTAATTTTGATACTTAAAGCTGCTTTAAGAAGCAGTAAGAAAGCAGTCCCAAATGAAGCCTAAGTGAAATCTACAATAGAGGCAACATGACATTTCCATATACAAGGATCATGTTCATGATGAGATATTTCTCTTCCATTTCAGGTTTGTGCGCCGTCGTGTCATGACTGCTCGACCATGCGAGCATGGTGGGAGGAAGATGAGGAGAGAAGATATCGTTTTTACCAAAATGTGATTGGCTCCAATGATGAACCCCCATCTCAATGCACACCTGAAGTAGCCAATTTCATCATCCACCAACACCTCTTAGCTCCATCAATGTGGGCGATTTTCCCTCTTCAGGTAAAGTAAAAACTTACCATCATCACCATTATCTACAGAGCTTTCAATCTATCTTTCTATAAACTTTATCAATCCTTTCTTTGACTAGGATTTACTAGCACTGAAAGAAGAGTACACAAACAGACCAGCAAAGGAGGAAACGATAAATGATCCAACAAACCCAAAGCATTATTGGAGATATCGTAAGTGGCTTAGTCGCTTGAGCGAGCAGCATCATATATATTGTTTTTCACTCTTGTTGTTAAGATCTTTTTCTTACCTTTTTTAAGGAGAATTTTTATAAAGCTGCTTACAGTTTTTTCTTCATATGAAAATGGATATCAAGATTTAGTCTTCGTTTGAGATAGCTTTTTTATTGCTTTTTAAAAATTGCTTTTAAGTATAAAAATTAAAATTTTTATATTAGAAAGCTGCTTTAAGAAGCAGTAAGAAAGGCGTCCCAAACAAAACCTTAAAACTTGTGAACTAAGATGATAATTTTTTTAGTTTGTAATTAACAACTATTAACTCTCTATCATAGATTTCAGATTTCTTCAACCCTCAGATATGCCTAACTCTCATCAAATTTTACTATTGCTATTAGAAATGGAGAAAATTTAAGTCAGAGATCCTAACTCAAATTTCATCATGATATATATTCTTGTCATTAAATTTCTTTGAGATATGACTAATTCACATTGCACTCATCTCAAAGTAAATCTTATGACCGAAACCCCTTTCAAATCAAAATTAGGCGGGATATCTTGACTCAAGAAATATTCATTATAATTTGTTATGAAAATGTACTATCACTATAGTTTCTCCTCCTTGGCATATAAACATCGAACCGTATGGTTTCTTTTTCCTTAAATCGTCGCGTCTTGTATCATTCTTGTCTTAGGACTGCATACGATATTAGGTTCAATTGTATTGTACTCATCTCAAAGTCCAATAAAAAAAAACTCATCCTCATTAAATACAAGTTAGAATATTAATCATTAGAATTTATTATGAAATAGTACTATCACAATATCATTATAGTTTCTCTTTTTTGGCATAAATATCAATCCCACTGCGTAGGGTTGGTTATCTGAATCTTTTTTCTTCATTGTGTCCTGTTAAAAGTCAAATTCTCATCTAAATCTAATTTTGAAAGGTCGTTTCTAACATTTTTTAACCACGTCTTTTAGTTTTACCTCTACCTTTCTTAACATAAGCTAAAATCTGATACATCTTCTCTCTTAAACGGATCGTCGGAAGGCCGTTGTTTTATGTGACCAAATCATCTAAGACGACTCTCTTTAATCTTATCTTCCACTGGAGCTACTCCAACCTTTTTAGACCACAGAGAATTTTTTTTTGTTTTTGCTTAAGTCATCACTTCTTGTATCCCTGTTGTGTTTAGGAGTGCATGTGACCCTGGAATCATTATTAAAGGATGAGGATCTGAAGATCACCATTAAGGATCTGGTAATTAGCAGTGGAAGATCTTACCCCACTTCTGAAGCTGAAATAAAGAACAAGCAGCAGGTGGAGAATATTCAGAGTAAGATCTCTAGCATCCAATTTAATGGTGATTGACAGGTTTAAGTGCTCTGCTCTGTTCCTTTATTGTTAGCATAATGCAGCATATTTCAATAGTTCTTAGCATTCAAATATCTTGTTATATTCCAATAAACCATCTGATGTTCACATCCTGTGATGGTGGAATTTTTTTTTTCTATTAGTATTTGGAGTTTTATTTAAATCATATAACTAGCTTTTAGGATTCTATTTCCATTTAACTAAGGCTTTGTTTGTTTGAGCGTTTTTTTGCCTTCTCCGTTCTCGAAAACGGAGTATTTTTTTTTTGTGTTGTTTGGTTCGTCAAATCATGTTCCCAATAACTCTTTTTTTTCATTTTTCTGCAGTTTTGAGAAAGCTTTTTATATGTGCTTCTCCGTTAGAAAACTCCATTTTCTAAACTAATGTTTTTTAAAACTGTCTTTTACAAAAGCAC